AAATTATCAACCTCGGCGCGCATGCGCAGCGTGGGTTACAGTACTTGGTTTGTCCGTCTGTCCGTCTGTCTGTCTGTTTTCTGCCACCACGCGCAACAAACAGGTATAATAGCGACACCAACGGGTTCAGCGCTACACTGGCTTGATTTTTAAAATGTCGATTATGGTAAAAGTGCCGCGTTCAGAAGGTATGGCGTGAAAACCAAGTTAACAAGCCAATATGCTAATTAGCACTAGCTTACCTCGACCTGATCCGCTTTATCTGTGTACCTCGGAGGCACAAGAAGTCAGAACGAAGGGCGTGTATCGACTCCCGCATGCTATCTACTAGCCCGTGTCAGACTCTCCGCGAGCTACTAGCGGGAGATCACGGGTAAACGCTAATAGGCCAAGCCCATCAATTAGAGGTACAGCGCATGCACAGTTCGCCGAGGGTTTGCACTTTAGTGCTTTTCATTGTTAGAAGCAAAAATATTCCTGCATATCCTGTTCCATTTTCGGGCATGTCGCGGCTAAATGTACATCAACAGGACATGCAGAAATATTTTAAAAGTTATTCTTCTGTGATAGACACTCATCTAATATGCTACTGCATGTCTTCTGGTCGTCCCTGTCTTGTCTCCTTGCTTTTTATACCATCCATATTCCCCAATTTGTTGTATGAAGTAATACCAGGAGCTTATGAGCCACCCGAACGGCAGAAGGAACATCTAACTCTGCGCTATAGCCCAGAACGGCATTTGAATCTAAACGCTAACAAGACTTTCCTTTTTATGGAACTGCCTTATTGTGGGAAATTGTCCCAAGCATTGCATGAGTGTACGACTACGTATGTGCACACACTTCGACCACACTGGAAATTCCCCACTTGAGGGCAGCTCCATTTAAGGAAAGTGTCTTTAGCGCTGCCGATTCAAATGCCTTTCTGTGCAGTTGGACGCAACTTCCGCCCTTAGGGCGGCTCATAAGCTCCTGTGAGACATGTATGCAGATTATCTCATTAACCCTCGGCGCGCGCATGCGCAGCGAGGGTTACAGTAGTCTGTCTGTCTGTCCATCTGTTACCATGATTTCTGCCACCACACGCAACAAACAGGAAAAAAAGCAACACCAGCGGGGCGGGTTCAGCGCTGCACTGCGTTTATTTTCAATTAGGCGATTTTCATAAAAGTGCTGCGTTCAGAAGTTATGGCGTGAAAACCAAGTGAACAAGCCAGCACTGGCTTGCTCTGTGTACCTTGGAGGCCACAACGAAGGGCGTGTATCGACTCCCGCATGCTATAGCTAGCCCGTGTCAGACTCTCCACGCGGGAGATCACGAGTAAACGCATACTAATAGGCCCAGCCCATCAATTAGCGGTACCGTGCATGCGAAGTTCGCGAGGGTTTGCACTTTAGTGCTGTTCATTTTTCCAGCTTTTCCTGCAATACATTTTTCCTTGCAGACCAATGTCCATCAGAAGATTTTACAACATGCTTGGCTCCTGACACTATTTTAGTGGTCAAGATTCTCTTCCAACACCCAGTACAAGGATGACCAACACAACAATAGAAGTGTCGTGGTCACTACCTCCCATAATAGACTGCTGTCTTAACACTGTGTTCAGTTATCCTCTGGTGCAATACAACTATGCTTTAGATAACGGAAACTTTTTAATCCAGAGGTACGTATGAGAGCAAAGCATGTCCCAAATGTATATTAATTGTTAGGGAGTGAAGCATCCTAGCACTCTACCTGAGCCTATGTATTTATATACCCAATCATCTGATTTTGTACCCTGTAGTCACCATGGAGAAGTAAACGTTTTTCTCTCTGTCTATATCTGTTTGCACTGTCTGTGGTGTGTAGTCATTGCCATTTTCACACTGCAGGCCCAATGGCAATGCACATATTATGTGATGCAGCGTCAATTTGATGCATTTTTCCGGCGGCCTATCTTCCTATGACACCTCAGTACTATTCTCATACCGCAATAACTAACATTCACAGCATAATTAAGAGGGACACATGAGCTTTGTATAAGCTTGATGATATTGTTTTATTCTTTTATTCAGGATCCTTTTCAAAGACATTTGAAATATGATAACCTCCAACCTTTCTCTCGTATCGGATTTCCTTAGTAGTGACACAATATATACACTGTGGCTGGACCTCAGAGTATATTATTTATACCCGGAATAAGAACAAAAGAAGGAGGTTGGTGTTTGTTTCCTTTTAGTTGCTCAATATTATAAACAATATTTCTTTCAGTGCCTGATCCAGTGCCCACCCCTAGTGCTGTGGGGTCTGGGGTAACATGTATTGATGTGTTTTGGAGTGGTCCAGACAATCTTCGTGGATCAATTGACAATAAAACTTACTTCCTTACTTATAGAGGAGGCTCATTTGATGTATCTGTAGATGTTGGAACTAATATGTCTTTATCATTGAATGATCTTACTCCTGACGTGGAATACATGATTGAGGTACTTGTAGTTGATAAATGTCGAAGTGAGATATTTGTGGTTTTCGCAACAGGTGAAGGTATCCAATGGAGTTTTAAACAGCAGTATTATAGCAGTGGATGCCTCGTCATGGCCAAGAGCTCCTTCCCCAGAATATGTGCAGCGTACCAACACATCAATGACTCTTACACTTGAATTGGAAGATGTACATGTCAACATATCTTCAGTTTTCATTGAGGTACGTTTTGCACACATGGTATCATTAAGTACGGTAGCTGAGCATGGGTGTCGTTATTAGAACTCACTAATGTTGAATTCCCTGTGTTCTAAAACCTTGTGAATAATAAGTGCCTGCGGTGCCGTTACCCCGCACCCATGAAAACGTGCAAAGAAGCCTCGGGCCGTTTGTAGCATTGTTACTGCGCTAGGTATGCCGCAATGCAAAGACCCGATCCCTCGAACTCACATGTAAATTTCACGGACTCCCTGTATAATGTACACCTAGTAAAATGCATGATTTTTAGCAGATTTTTCTTGGCTTGTTCAAATCTCATCAAGACAACAAGCCATAGGAAATTATGGAGGCCAAGGATCTGTGGCTGTAGCATTCTGTGGCGTCCTAAATTACATATGTGTTTTGCATGACTTGTCAGCTAACTGTTTTAAAGTGCGCCATGAGCATAACATGCTATGAACTATAATTTCATGAAATAATGTTTCGAACTCTGCACTGGTCCTACAGGGGTTTAACACCGTCCACTACTGTTCCATGTTAGTGTCCTTGTTAGTGGACTTTGTCATAGTTACCAATCAGATTTTAATCTGCTGCACTTGAACAATCTTTACGTCCCTCTATGTCCAGTGGCTTACTCAATGTCCTCTATGTGCAGTTGCTTTCTCCGCATCCTATCATACAAGCAGGGGTATTACTGGCAAAAATGGGCATAGCCCCTACATGGCAAAGGCCAAGTACGTATTAGTTAGACGGTAGGCATGGGCTATGTACGCAGTTTTAGGAAGCCATACCCTGGGGAGGTGGCGTTCCAAGTGCAGCAAGAATACAAGAACAGGATCCAAGGTTTCCTAAATTGTGTGGTTTCCAGGACTATCTGGCGCCTACAGATGGTACATGCAATAACATAGATACCATATTGTGGTACGTACGTAGTAGTGTGAGGGGTAAGGTGGTGGACTGTGGCACCAAACGACACAAGTTCGGATCCTACCTCAGGCTATTTTTCTCGCTTTTTTTCTTCGATGTATGTGCATGCATATTACTAATATACAAAGTTGAGAGCCTTGGGTTGCTTTGGACCTGAGTGTGTCATTCGCAAAACATGAAACTATGGGCATTGGGCAGAGGGAGTGAACACTATCCAATGGAGTATTCCTCCGCATCCTACAGAGAAAGCCAAGTGGAATCACATTCTTCTAGTTTCACAATCACATTTGAGAATTGCCGTACTCCAAGAATGTGTGATGTTCGGAATGTGGCCATACTCATGTTTTGTGATGGAGTCAGCACGTGCCCTAGGAGGCAGAAAGGACACCACTGTGCATTAATTTCAACAGTCAAACAGTCATTTTCCATCGCATAGGTATAGAGGAGGAAAATATAATTATAATGATTTTGTCAAACAAAGCCTTAATATCTGAGGTATATACCAAAGTTCCCACGTGTTTCAGCTGTGATATGCTGTATTTACTGTGTTGAGACATTTGTAAAAGCCAATGATCCACTTTACTATGACATGCAGACTGTGACTGCAGTGAGTGCATGCTACTTTCACGAAAATTAACAAGTAAATTAAAATACTGCGAATTTAAAAGAGGCATATAGGGATGGTATAAAAAGAAAGGAGAGTCAAGATAGGGATGGGATACATGAAGCATGGTTAATGAACAGATTTGAGTATGCTGGCACCCCCTACCCCATCACACAATCCGTTGCCTGGTGTGCTACTCTTATAGGAAATGTGGCAATATATAAGGGCTAAAGGTAAAGCAAGCATTCTTTCACGGTGCCCTTGTTGTTTTTAGTACCATTTTCTACTTTTATACTTCATTTAATTAAACTCCACTTGGACTCCATAACGGTGTTCTTTTTTGTATTATAAGTTGTGATTATTTTAATGGTGAATGTTTAATACTTCACCTAGGCACCAATATAGGGATTGTGTGATGTTAACCATGCTTCATGTACCCCATCCCTATCTTGTCTCCCTTTCTTTTTATACCATCCCTATATGCCTCTTTTTTAAATTCGCAGGACTTCTAACTAGAGGAATGCAAGGCGAGCGAAGAGATTAGTTCGATACGTTTTGCGTGTATTTAGAATTACATAACATTAACGGTATGTGGCAGCACCAGTACACATCAGAAAAATTCCGCATTCAGACGACTAGGAGGCCTCGCTTTGCCTGCCAATTACTCTTGAACATACTAAAGCAAAATGAGCCTTTCCACACGAGGCCTTTTACTCAAAGAACTGGCAGGAAAAGCACCAAAAAGCCATGTGACCAGGCATTTAGAACACACTTTGTTGACATGTAGTGCAATCAGATGATGCAATAATGCTGCAGATAGTGCACTACACAACATTGAGCGTTATTGTATCATCCTTGTGCAACACGTAAAGTCAGCTAAGTGTGTTCGCAATACATATCTATACTTTTCTGCAGTAATATGTTTCTCTTATTATGTAGGCCATTACAGCTGAGGATGATGGCGTAAATCGCAGCAGCTCTGAACAAGTTGTAAATGGTACTCTTCCGATGATATTGAACTTCACCCTATCTTCTTTGTCAGCATACACATATTACAATGTCAGAGCAGTTGCTACGTATGTCTTATCCAAATGTAATACAAGTAAGTATGCTGGACATCCTAAGATGATCTGGACTGAACGTAAGCTGAATTATTTTAGATCTTGCCACACTTTCATTTCTGTTTTTGGTGCTCCAGCTGGTGTACCTGACCCTCCGGCAGAATTGAAAATTGAAAACAATGGAATAGCTTCTTGGGATGCAGTTAATCCAAGAACTGATAATCCTAGAATCTCATACATTCTTGAAGTAATTAGAGTTGATGATGGAGAAATTGCTGTGACTAAAGATGTGGGAAATACACTCACTGCAAATCTGAACGACTTCAATTTAGAAGTTGGTCAGAGCTATAACATTTGTGTCCTTGCAATGAATAACATTGGGAACGGCAAACCAAGCTGTGTTCTCTACACACATATGATACCCCCAGGTACGTACAGGTAATAATGCACAATTGGCGAACCAAAGCAAGCTGACCTAGTAGTCCAAACAGCGCAGTTTTATGTGTTGGTATGTCCTCCAACTACCCATGCATTTTGATATTCCTTTGCACTCAGATGCTGAGCCAGAAAGTGTCCTTTCCAGTGGTGAATATGCTGCAATTGGGTCTGGAGCTGGTGTTGTGTGCATACTGCTGCTACTTATTGCTAGTCTCATTGGTATGAGCATGTAGTGTCAATAATAGCTTCTTGTTGGTTAGAAAGCTATGAGAGTGAGACTATAGGTGTAATGGCATAGCTCTATATGTACGCATGTGAGTCAAGTGTAATCTTACCCAATAGTCTGACTCGTACCTATCTCATTTATTATTATTATAGTGTACTTGGTGTGCAGAAGAAGAAGGGAAAAGTCACTGGCGAGGTTGGCTTATGCATATGGCCCAGACTTGGAACTCTCTAACATACGTGCTCAACGTTATCATCGAACCACTACAGGCAATAATCCAAGCTTGTGGTAAGTTAATAATATGTGGCATTCGAGGATGATATCCGCTCCTAGTGATCATGATTGAAGAATTGAAGTATACACAGGCCAGGAGGGAGAGAGAAAAAACCATCTTTTGTCAGGAGTCCAACCCCAGGCTTTAGCAATGGTTATGCAGCTGAGGGTTAGCTTTACGAGGAGTCTTCTTAACATGGCTTACAGCTCTAACGCCTTGGTTTACTATCAGCCTTGTAACAAGAAATTACAGCTGGATGTGGAGCAACTCCATTGCGCTTCTTTTATATCTGTACTGACGTACAAAACTAGCCTCGGCCTGTTCAGCACCAGAGGTAAATTCAACTACTTATCAACCATAGGCAATGTAAAGGGTACATAGTATGTACAACCTTTAGACTCGCTGGAGTTTTACGGGGCGAGCCATCAATATAATTATACCTTCAACATACTCATTGGTGGGCTCCACCAGCTTTTGGGAGGTCATTCTCCTTCCCAATGACTTGCTGAAAGTGCAGTCCATATGGCTAATGCTATTTCCAGCCGTCCAGAATAAATGTGCATGTTGCACACAGGAATTACACAGTTAGTTACACGTGGTAACCATGTTTAGAGAACTTCTCACCTTTCTCACCCATAAAGGTCAAAAGAAACATTTGTTGCTACTGAAGAAGAGCTTGCCCTACTCAATCAATTTCCTCGTCAATACATAACATTGGAAGAGTAAGCCTGTTATATAGTATAAGCACAGTCTATATAATTGTTTTTTTTTTTTTCTATAGTTTTCTTGGACAGGGAGAATTTGGTGAAGTTTATCAGGGAACTGCTTTTGATATATTAGGTGTCGATACAGGTCCTCATCCTGTGGCTATCAAGGTGTAGTAATGCTGCACATGCTCAAATCTTTGTATGTTCAGTAGATAATATCACAGCATTACGACAATATAGTTAGTGAGAAGTACTAAACTGTGCACTCCCATTATCTGTCAATGGGATTATGTGTCCCTCTTCACGTACGGGCTCTAGGTCAATCACACAAAAGGGATAGCAGGGTGATAGAACTAATGTTAGCTGAGTGTATGTGTCATTTGACCATGCTTGTACCTCTAAGTGAAAAGTAAAAGCTGATTTGCAGGATAATTTGTAATGAAAATTTATGCGGACAATCATTATTTTGTGTTAATGCTATATCTATTTAGACATTCCGCAAAGGTGCTACCCTGGATGAAAAACACAAATTCCTTTCCGAAGCAGCTCTCATGGGGTAAAAAAACCTTTTAACTAGCTTCTGATGTTTTCACAATATAAATTAATTAAGCCAGGAATGTTAGCCTATGGTTTACCAAGCTTGCCGACCCAGCCCCCTTGTTTAGAGGAAACGAGGCTACATTATTATAGTACATGGAGAGGGGTTCAATACGACACATTCCTGTATACATGTCTCAACTCATGTGGGATCGGACAAGCCTGCAATGTTGCTTATGAATCACATGACTATAATGCAAAACACCACAGTATTGAAAGTAGAGTTAGTGAGAGTACATCTGTAAGCCAGAGCGAACAAATCCTAGTGGCTCTTGTCATTCATACTGTGCAATGAAATGTATTTTTTTTTACTCCGATCGAAGAAATGGTCTTTACATGATCATACATTCACCTTGTCTGGCCCTGGTCTCAACTCCTAAGAAGTTGTTTGTACCTAATAAACTATCACATGACTTTTAATGTAGAAAATGGTTATGGCCCTGTCAACTTGCTGAAAACGTGTACGTGTGCGAGTGGGTGCATAGCTAGCAGTAGCTTTTCTTGCATGGGCATTCAACAGTATACAAATGCTTACTTCAGTGCTTTATATTACGTACTTTCTTACTACTGCCCTCCCCATAGGAAATTTGAACATCCAAACATTGTGAAGATATTGGGCATATGTGTTGATAATGACCCAGTATTCATCATTATGGAGTTGATGCCTGCTGGAGACCTATTGAAATTCCTAAGAGAAGCACGACCAGAGTCGGTCAGTTTCTTTCTTTTGTAATAGAGGTTTGCTAGTTATCAAGCAATCAATGTTGACGATTCAGGGTCCAGCATTACTAACACGGGAAGAGCATCTTTACATCATCAAAGACATTGCACAGGGTTGTCGTTACCTGGAGCAGCAGCACTTCATTCACCGTGATTTAGCTGCTCGGAACTGTTTAGTGTCTAGCAAGGGTGCTGATAGAATTGTAAAAATTGGAGGTATGTGTATATATAGCATAATCTCTACATAGTACGTAATATCCTCACATTACAAAGATTTTGGACTGGCACGAGATCTCTATAGCTCTGACTACTATCGTGTTGAGGGTGAGAGGAAGCTTCCAGTGCGATGGATGGCTCCAGAAGCTCTGCTCCAGGGGAAATTTACGATTGAATCAGATGTGTGGTACGTATAGTTTAAACGTTTTTGGATTATGTATGAAATCTGCTGGCAAGCAAAACAAATGGTATAGTACTCCTTATATAATAATTATGTCTGTTTGCTTTCAGATAGGTTTAGAGCCATAGCACTGTGAAAAACTGCATATTGCTCTGCATGGATTTTATCATAACCATTCCTATGTAGGGCGTATGGAATTCTGCTGTATGAAGTTATGAGTTTTGGGAACCAACCATATCCTGGGCAGTCTAACCAGGATGTCTTGCAGTATGTAACTGCAGGTGGAAGACTTCCAAAGCCAGATAAATGTCCTCAGAGAATGTAAGTATAATGAGAGTTGTGTAAATGGTGTTAATGAACCACAAGTATGTTTTAGCTACCGTCTCATGATGAAATGCTGGAGGAAATACGCTTCTGAGCGTCCACGGTTTGAGGAGATATGCCAGTATCTGGATAACATAATAGAAGATATGAAGCGCGACAGCTACTGTGAATCAGATTCAGATGATGGTGAAACTCTCAGCAGGGAGGGATCAAAAAGAGTTCCAACCAGAAGTCCATCCTTCAAATCAGGTTTTGACGCATGTTTACTTTCTGTCTCTGGAATAGATATGGTTGTTGAATACACATGGTACGTACGTATGTGACTTGGAGACCAAACAAAGTGATTTTGTCATGACACAGAAATATGATGCTGTTAATTAGTTTTGCATAACATGATAACCTGAAAGGTATATAGTTTCTGTAGGATAAGTTTGTATATGGTTAAATGGTATTATAGTCACTCATAAGTGGCAGCTACATGTTGGTACAGCTAAATGCCGACTGTGCACATCTGCAATCTCTGAGTGCACACGCTTCGCAATTAGTGCTGACTTTTCTGTGCTGAAAGTTAAGCATGAGCCATTTCTGAAGAAAATCTCCAACTTATAAAGTAGTCTTGCTGCCCATGCTTTCACACAGGAATACCAAAGCAGTTTTATTTGCTGCATGGGGGGATTTCAGTTTGAGGTTTTATGGCCTTTAGATCTCCCTATAAGTACCGTATTTTCCGGAGTATAAGTCACACGGAGTATAAGTCGCACCCATACTTTAGGCCTTTCATACACGGATTTGTATGGTTACTCTATTTAACGCCCACATCCGTCACACCGCTCACGAGGGATTGCGCGCGCGGATCGCGGATGGAAGATCACAATGTAGAAGGAGAAATACGAGGGCATCATGTGTACAATACCCCCTGGACACCAGATGTTAGATGTCCAGTTAGATGCGTGAAATCGACGGTAACGCCCCCCTTTTCTCGCATCCGCAGTATAAGTCACATGTCGAAACATTAAGCAAATTTTGATAAAAAGTGCGACTTATACTCCGGAAAATACAGTACATATAATTTTGTACATGTACTGTGTAATATGTGAAGCAGGGTTGATGATACATGATACTGTTTGGCAGTTAAATACTGTGTATGGTCTGTAGGGTTCCAAAACTTGGTTCGTTCTGGAAGTAAGAAGTTGCGTAACAGTCTTCGGAGACACAGTATACATCGGAAGGAAGAACAAACAACTCACACATCAGTAAGCAGTTGCGACAATCTCATTCCCACTGTAAGTGCATGAAAATGCACACCACATACCCCAGAGTCTTTTATTCAAAGGTTGTGGGTATGTATGTCAGTGTCATATAACAGATTAGATATCTGTTTGTGTACTGTCATTTGCAACGAGCATTTAAAGCTGAACAGCTTTTGAGCTCCTAGTAAGCAAACAGCCTCTGGGCTGGTAGAAACTGCAATTCCACATACCAGTATTTCCTTCATGTTTTTTCTGGAATAATCCACTTAATGAGTACGTAGCTAAACAGCGAGAAGACTCAGAGGGTATGTTATACAATTTTGACCTTATGTATAATTATGCATAGAAAATATCCGACCCATATTAATAGCAATATTGCTATGTGTTTCTACGTATGTGGATCCTATAGTAGTTCAACAAGTACATTCATAATCCTCCGAATTTAAAAAAGAGGCATATAAGATAGTATTTAAAAGAAATGAGGACAAAATAGGGATGGGATACATGGAGCACGGTTAACGAACAGATTTGAGCACGTTTGTTAACCATGCTTCATGTATCCCATCCCTATCTTGTCTCCCTTTCTTTTCAATATACGTACCATCCCTATATGCTTATTTTTTAAATTCGCAGGATTTTTAAATTACGTACGTCTCCACTCATTTTACGTATAATATCTGTGAACACGGTTACACGGTTAGGAGAAAGGACTCTCAGGCCGGTGCGTTATAGAAAGTGGTCTGTGAACTAAGTGCAGGTGGTTGCTAGTTTTGATAACACCTAACACCATAATCTGTCCCTTCCTCAGAGAGCTACACACATACCTCTGAGACTGCGAGGTTTGGTGCCCCTGCTGCATAAGTCCACTAGCAACATAAGTAGTTGGTAACATAGATGGTGTTCTAAAGTAAAAATTGATGATGTTCTATGGTAGCATAATACTATTGTCCTCATTGTCGTGCTTCAGTCTAATGAGGACCATCACGACGCTTTCTACCTTTCAGAAAGGTTAGATTACACCATAAATCTATCCATTGGTGTCGAATATCCAGTGTAAAATGGTACAACTACCAGCAGCGTACTGCCTGTCCGCATAACTTCTCCGTATTCATCCCGGTTACTACTCCACTTTACAAAGAGAAGCTATGGAAATGGTGCCACTCGAGTGCTATAGCAGCCAGTGCGTGTGGACTTAGCCGCTAAAACATAGATGGACTCCAGGTAAAAAAACCAGAAGCCCGTACGCGTAAAACAATTTTATGACAACATGTCTGGTTTCCGTGTACAAGGTCACAATTTGTCATAAGCTACATCCCTGAGCTACCCCCTACTCCACATCAAATGCCTCTGACCGTTCCCCATTCAACAATACAGCACTCTTTGAGGACTCGTACATATATAGCACTCTTTGAGGACTTGTACATCTTCTTTATGACCCTCCACATCTTCCCTCTTACCCCAAATTCCCACAACTGAAACCACAGGCCGTTACGCCACACACTATTGTATGCAAATCTAGAACGAATGCATTGTGTGTCTCCTTCCCCTCCTTTGGCCTATATACCCTGCACGAGTTCATTCAGCGTATAAATAATATCAACACAACCCTAAAACCACCCTGCTCCTCATGCAATGCTTGACCCTTGTCCAGATGTTTCACCAACCTATCATTCACTTACAACAACCACACTCAGCAGAGTGATGCCCTAATTCCCAGGATCCTCCTATCTCCCTTCTTAGACAGGTTAACTATGAGGCCAGATAAGGGATTAAGTTGGAAGATAAAATATGCTCCAGTTAGGTTTACTTCTTACTGCCACATTCCCTCTAAGATGTTGCACTGACCAGACCATTTGTACAACCTTAGGTTAGAGCTGTCTAACAAACTTTTGAGTAGCAAGCACACATGGGTAGCAGCAATCTCTCCGGACTCAGGAAAATTCAAGAAACATTTCCTCGTCACATTCACTGTTTCAAATTTATTGTGTGTTTGTGAAGTATAAAATCTCCTGTAGACTCTCATCTTTTTTGTGATAAGTAGAGTCTCTAAACCTACCAAAAAGATCTCTAAAGTGTATAATATACTGTGCCACCTCCGAGTAATAGTCACGTTAGGACCAGCCATTTTGTCTCTTAAAAGGGAGGTTATCCTCCCTTTTGAAGCTAAAAAAGAATGTTTGGGACCTCAACGTGTTTTTTTATTGAGAGGTGTTATTCTCCGAGTGTCTTTTGTGACTGTATTTTTTCCCCATACCTACAGGAAAACGGTGATTCCTTCCGAGAGAGTGGACTTATTTAGCAGTTGGCTTCAGTCATTTTTAGTTTAACTTGTTTGTGGATATATTGTTTTTAATTTTGCGAATTAATCTATACATGAATGATAACAATACCCCTTCCGACAAGTGTACACAGTTTTATCCTTTTTATGTAATGTACGATCACCACCAAAATGTATTTTCTGTGTGACACATGCAAATTTTTAAGATGTCAATAATCATACTCTTATGGGATGGGTAAGGCATTCAATGATGAACATTGATCTACTTGAAACCTGATTCATCTTACCATGATACATGCACAATTTTTTCCGAAAAGCCTGGGGTATTACCAAAACCCTAATCCTAACTGATCAACCCTGCACATTGCACTTGACAGCTTGTAACTATAAGTACAGTAGTATACATAGTTATAGGGGTGACAAGGATTCCTCATTTGTTTTACATTTGCCAAATTTCACTTTGATTTTTAATCAGATCCAACTTCTAACTTATTAGGCAAGAAATGTCAGTTTGAAGACCATCATCCATTTTACTACTGCATCACAAGCACCAGGTCATCCCTGTCTTGTCTCCTCGCTTTCCACTATTCCACACTTTTTTTGAGTTCAAGAATTTACTACAAGCTATCATGAATAATAACAGTGCTGAAAGCATGAGCACTAAGTGTGCAAATCCTCGGCGAACTGCGCATGCGCGGTACCACTAATTGATGTGCTGGGCATTTAGTATGCGTAGTGTCTAGTATATAGCTCCCAACCAACAAGCTGGAGCTACGGCGAAAGCTGTATTCATTGCGGCTGAAAGACCGAGACTCCGTTCAAAGCTCGAGGAGAGTCTGCCAGACTGACACGGACTAGCTACAGTAGTATATGGATAGCATGCGGGAGCCGATACACGCCCTTCCTTGTGCCTATGCACAGAGCGGTTGAGGTATGCCTGTACATGCATATTGGCTTGTTCACTTGCTTTTCACGCCATAACTTTTGAACGCAGTAGTTATAGGAAAATGGCGCCGTTTTAAAAATGAAGCCAGTGTAGCCGTTGGTACATGATATCGCTGTTTTTGTTGTCTTGTTGCGCGTATTCGTGGTATATACACCCTTGACCGTACCGGCGACTGACACCACATGACAGAACCAGCAAACCGTAACCCTCGCTGCGCATGCGCGCCAAGGGTTGGAAAATATGAAGCGTGTAACCCTCTTTCAGCCTGTGCAGGGTTGATCAGTTGGAATTAGGGTTTTAGGTATTCTCCAGGCTTTCTCGCAAAAAAGCTACATGTTATGCAGAACATTTACAGGTAGCAATTAATAATGTTCAAGCTATTAATGATGTTCGTAAATGTATCGCAGAAAAATTCAACTCAGTCACCGATTTGGATACACACTTTCTTTTGCTGTTTTCCATCAACCTTTTTTGGATCATTTGTTGAATTAAGTGATTGGCTGTTGTGTTAAGGAAGCAAATTCATTGTGTATAAATGACATTAGAAACATTATTCGGAGAGAAAAGGGAGGATACATAGCAGCTCCTAGTTCTTCAAGCTGCAGGAAAAGAAAATCATGTGAAATCATCTTGTGATCCAGTGCAAGTTTATACAAAATGCGCCAGTCTCAACTTCTACTGGCATCAGTTCATTTTTTGTGGAGTCAGGGGGCCGTTAAATCAACACTTAATGCAGACAAACACTCTACACATTTCAATTCCCAACTTAGCACAGAAGGTACTGCGGTGTTGATTTTACTGAAGGAAACAAGGCTCTACATAAGCCATATTTTTTCTGAGTTTTTTAAGCGAACACATCTACAACATTTTTTCAATGAACATGGTACTTAAGCTCTCCTATACACGTAGTTGCACTTTGAATTGAGGTTGTTAGAAATCACCAACATGATATCCCTTCATAGAATATCATGTCAGATCTGTCCATCTGTCCAAAATATTGCTGTTGCCACTGCACTGTTTGAGCACTAAAATGCCGTCAACCAGTCATTGCTAGTATCCAGGTAAAGAAAGCTATCCATCTCAGCGCTTGCGTGCATAACCTTGGCCGCTTCCGAGTCAGAGTACACCATCATGATTGATCATTTCCGCTGCCTACCATCTGTAGCTCTCCAGTGGTATATAGTTCACTACACTTTTGCCGAGGGTCACACCCAGAACTAAATGTTTATAACACACTGGTGGTTAGTGCACTTGACGGTATGATAACGATCTCGATTACATGATGCATGAGCCATACCGTCCTCGTGCACAAGCTAAACCACATCATGCACTGCATTTGGTGTGTTCTAAATAATACGTAACCTAGTCAATAAAGCATGCTTACAATAGTACCCACGGTGGTACGCCCACATACTACTATGCATTCAAGTTCTGTGTTGTATATAGCTTGCTTCATCCTCATTTTTCTGTTTGAAGAACGTGGCTGCATAGGTACCTACGTATAAGTCCAGCGTTAGTTGTCACTACTATGGATCCTCCTAGCCATACATTGATTGCTGTTTTATTGAAGGATTTGATTGCTTTCAGGAGGAGAGCCTTGCATATAGATGTAGATAAAACTTTTAGAAATGCATCAGGATATATGAGCGTTTTCTATCAAAACAAGGGAATTGACATGGACAATCTCCCTAGAATATTGAACAGCAAGTATGTTAGAAATGCAGTGCCTAACATTGTACATAATGCAACACCTCCCATAGTGAGCTTTAAATACACTAAATTGCTGGAAAGTTTTTCAATCAGAAGAAGGTAGTTGAGGGGCTAGATGTTGATATAGGTATATACTAGGAATGCGCACGCGCATATTTTGCCTCGCACCTGCCAGCCAACGCGTAAACAGTCCGACTGAGGCCGCTCGTACGCGCGCTCTACTGACTGCGTGCGAAGCCAGACTTCCTACGAATCTGTGCGCACGGCGGAAGCTAGACTTGTTACGAATGACGGAAGTTGACATTCCTAAGCGTGACTAATTGACATTCTTAAGCGTGACTGACACGTACGTACGCATATCGCGAGAATACAACCCGGAGTAGTAGCTTCGCGCTAATGCGCTCGGCAACTAGAGATATGTGTTGTGATTGTAATACGAGTAAATACTGTTACACACTTGTTGGAAATGTTGTTACTGGAGACCTGAATATCGTAAAGGATGCAAAGCTTCGAAGCTTAATAGAGGAAGGACCATCGTATAGAGAACAAAACTATGTTATTACTGAAAAATTATGCAAGGAGGCAGTAACCAAGTATAAGCGTAAATGGTCGCGTAGAGAAAGAATAGACATAAGAGCATTAAATGAGTGGGAATGTAAGGTAAATGAATGTGTTCAGAAAAGAATTGCCTCGCTGAAGAGAAAGCATATAAATAGAAGAAAAATGCATATCCTGAAGAATAGAGTGCATTCAAGGTCTCTAGAGGAGCTTCATAATAAGTTTGTGTTAGTACCAGCTGATAAGGCAGCACAAAATGTGATTACAGTTTGTAAAAAGTATTATTTGGAAACTGTATTAAAAGAAATCGACACAACTATCACGTATGAGCATGTTATGGAGGAATGTCAAGGCATTGTTGATAGACACATGAATAACCACCGCATTGATGTACGACCTGAATATATATGCTTGCCTTTGTTTTATTGGCTTCCAAAGCTTCATAAACAACCTTATGGTACTAGGTTCATAGCTGCACCACACAGGTGCACTAACAGGTGCACTACAAAACCTTTATCTAAACTACTTACTAGCTGCCTTAAACTAATTACCGACCATTATAAACAATGTGGTAACAGCATTTTTTGTAGGACTGGAGTAAATTGTTTTTGGATTATTGATAATTCCCAGCAGGTGCTTTCATTTTGATAGCTACGACTTCTCTACATTGTACACAAGCATTCCACATGTAGCACTCAAAGAAGCTTTAGAGACTCTAGTTCAGGAAGTTTTAGTGACATATTTATTTTTGTTACACGTGTATATGCTGTGCGTTATTTAGAGTAATCACACGTTTTTTCTATCTACGTTGCATCGTCGTACTGCGTAAGTTTCAGAGTTTTTATATTTTTGTATGAGTCTATTAATCCTTTGAGGCTTTCTATTTTTCTACAGGCTGTTGATTTTATCCTGTAGTTGCCGTTCTTTCGTATATAATCTCTATCTACTTATTCTCTAACTATGTGTAAGGGAGGTTGGGACACTGGGTGTGTAGGGAGAGTTGGGCCCATGACTCTTCAACCTACCGCCCTGGTTCTCAAGGCTGGGCACCCAGGGTCCTAAGGGTTCTTTCTTTCCTCTCACATTATTCTTTTAGCTAGTACGCTATAAACATGTTTTTTCATGGTGAGAGACAGTGAGTTCATTATACCAGATAGTACTGGAAATGTGTACTGGTCTAATGTACCATCGAACTCCTCATCGAAACAGAATATTACTGAAGAGATGCTAGTCACATATGTGGAATACTTGATAGATAATATTTATGTTAGTATAGGTAATAGAATATATAGACAGGTTATAGGGATTCCAATGGGAATGGATTGTGCGCCGTTGGTGGCAAATTTGTGTCTGTTTTATTACGAATATAGATATATGAAGAATATGATAAAAACAAATTTGATGCTGGCAGAAAGATTCAGTAACACAATGAGGTATATTGATGATTTGCTGACATTGAATAA